TTTGCCACGTACAATCCGGCTATGGAATGAGCTCCCTCCACGGTGTTTCCCGAGCGCTATGACATGTCCTTCTTCAAACGAGGCTTGTGGAGAGTATTAAACGGTAGGCAGCGGCTTGGCTCTGCCCCCGGCAGTGCTGAAGTCGATGAGCGACGGTAACCACTCACCATCAGGTGGGCCGTATGCTCGTCTGCCTACAAGGGCAATAAAAAAAAGAAAAAATAATAACTATTGTCTTTAACAGCTACTAACAGCTGAGATTTCAACCCCATTTCTCAAGCTATGATCACATACGCATCGCTTGTGACGATTACGCCGATAATTCTGTAAATAGAACGAAATACTTTAGGACGTCTGTAAAATTTTGAGTGTCATTTTTTTTTTACCACTTTCAGTGCTCGATCTAACCAGAGAATCCCGTCTCTGAGTCATTATGCTAGTGTAAGCCCGCAGGATACAATTCACGGCCGCATCATTACGTACTTACGTAGGTCGGCGATGCAAATTTATAAGAATCCTGTTAGCAACGGCGCCAATTATTTCTGAAACGTTTAGATTCATCTTCCAACGTACGTAATTCGAGTTGAATTATTATTAAGAAAGAAAAAAAAAATTAACAAAATAATTATTTTCGATGGAAACCGGCATCTGGTATTTAACAACAAATTTAGCTTGATTCCAAACAGCCGAAGACAGATTTACGATCGCCTGTCAAATGCGAAGGCAAACATTGAGGTATTCCGCAGATTTATCGTGTAGAAAAGTGTGGTATGTTCCGCGCAAGTGGGCAGTGGCGACCTTCTTAACTGGATGAACGAACTCTTTATTTTTAGATATTTCTTTAACACCTCCGGGCGATCGCTAACTTTTTATCTGGACGTCGTTCAGATGCTCGACGTGACTCGGTACGTACCCCCGTTTTTTTGATATTCCGCTTAGACTTCTAAACACAAATTGCAATCAACTAATCTTTGATATTCAACAACTTAATCAGACTTTAGTTTTTGTCTCGTGCTTTTGTTTTACATTGAAACCGGACTTAAATTTTGTTGTCCCTCATTGCATTTTACTTAGATGTTGTCTTAGTCTAAGTAAACATTCCATTACAGAATCCATCGTTAAATCTATTTATTTTATTATTCTATCTTTTATCTAGATTTTTTTTTCACTAGTGGTTAGGACCTCTTGTGAGTCCGCACGGGTAGGTACCATCACCCTGCCTGTTTCTGCGTTAGCAGTAATGCGTTTCGGTTTGAAGGGTGGGGCAGCCGTTGTAGCTATACTTGAGACCTTGCAACTTATATCTGAAGGTGGGTGGCGCATTTACGTTGTAGATGTCTATGGGCTCCAGTAACTCCACTTAACATTATGTCTAAGCAATAATAAAAAAAAAAGAATAAGACGAAGTGTCTAAATCTTAAAACGTAAAACCATACTGCATTAGATTCTAAACGAATTCCAATTTCACAAATCCAATAATACTTCGGCTTAATCACGATAACCCTGAACGTGCTTACTGTTCGGATGCGAAATTTTAAAAACATACCTACCTCCGAAAGTATTCAGCGAATTGTTTTTATTGAACGAACCTTGTTCTCTGATGACAGACACAGATCGCGCACAGTTCACGATCAGTTGTAGGTCAGTGTTATATTTGTAAATATTGTTTAATAACGGTATTGTCGTAAAATTATGTCGATTTGGTCAGGGGATTTAATTTAATTGATAAATAGATAGATGGTAAATAGACGTGCTTTAACAAAAACCGACTACAAATAGTAAAAAAAAAAGATATTCCAAAACAAATTGATATACACTAAAAACAATAATCATCGAAATCGGTTGGTGTGATATTGAGTTATTGAGTTATTCATCTATTTGTCACGCACGCACTTAATGCAAATTTAAGACTTATATGGTTTTCTCATGAATACCATTATCAGAACTGGACTAAATTGAAATGGGACCACACGGGTAGTGTCAGCTTTCTAATAAAGAAAGAATCATCAAAATCGATTCACCCAATCAAAAGTTATGAGGTAACTAACATTAAAAAAAAACATACAGTCGAATTGAGAACCTCCTCCTTTTTTGAAGTTAAAAATTTAAGTTTTATTAGTAAAAATATATCCCTCTTTTCGTCGATAATCCTCAATACAGAGGGTCGTGGTTTCACTGAATCACTTGGACTATCTTGTGCCAGTTTAGTATCCTCGGCTGCATGGATGATATTGTGATCTCAAGTGTTTAAGGCAGAGCGTATTTCGTCTAACCGACTCATTCTAAGACTTCTAAGGCTGGCTACATCTTGCCTTACCAGTATCGTTTTTAAATTATCCTCTTTCTTCTATCTAGTGCATATTTATTCAGCGCTGAATTTAGTGGTCTGGAGGCCTCGGGTCAACAGAGGCGCGGAGGCCCGCAGACCCCAAATAATTTTCCAAATAAAATTAACAATTTTTTTCAGTCGAGTTTTCCAATAAGTAATGTATTGTGAAGCCACGTAGATTCTCTATGTATTAAACAAACATACATAATTATAATCGGAGACAAGAATTATGTATCTAAAATTATTTTTTCAAGGGCGGATCCAGCTTTGGCGCCAGGAGGGGGTCACATAGTCGTGGGCATGTTAAGAACTTATAATTTAATTTTGATTACAATAGATAATAAATAAATCATGATGTTCTTCTTCAATTAGTCCAAGTTAGTTCAAGTCCTGGAACTAGCTCAGGGGGAGGTCATGACCCCCATGACCCCCCCCCTGGATCCGCCGTTGTATTTTTTTGTGTTAACGATCTGTTCGTTAACAGTAAAATTCCTTTCGAGCTTCTTTCGCCGAAAAATCGTTGATAATTTCACTGAAATCCAATTTCTTGTCCTTCCAACTTCTGCACTAATAAATAATTTATTAGTGCAGAAGTTTTGGATTGTAGAGTATGACGTTTGTAAATTATTGTTCATTAATACGCTTTTATTTTTTTAATACGCTCTTATTAGCTTCAGACGTATGTAATAGGTTGGGGAAAAAAATTTTTACGCATTATAGTATGTATGAACTTGTGATAAAATCTCTTTGGCTATACTATTTGTATCTGGCTGGTTTTGGTATCATGGTTTTTTTTTACAATAAAATCATTTTTTGTTACACTATTTTTAATTCAAATTTATTAAAATTTGTTTTCTATTTTTTAGTTGGATTTTCTATAAAAGCGTATTTTGTTATTTTTTTTAAACTATTATTTGTTACTCTATACATTGAGTTTCTTCACTCATGTTCGAGAGCCTCAATTATCCTAGTTCCGTGTCTGGAGTTGTGCTTCCTCAAAAATTATGAACTTCTCTAGAACCAGACTTCTATAACTAAGTTAACGTCTAAATGTTTTAATATTTTTCTTGATATAATAACAATTGTATAATAATAATGATTGTTTGTACTTAATAATGTTCGTTCTATTGCTTAACGATTCTTTGAATTCCAATATACCGTGTAATATTATACCACATTATCATTAAATGAATTATTTTCAAACCGGTGTAAAAGTGTACTTTAAAAATCTTTGTACTTAAGTTTGTTTGGGTGAATATTATTAATACATTACAGTTTTACTATGTAAAATACTATTTGGTTTCTATATTTTGTATTAATTATAATAATTCTATGGTAGAATGTTTATGGCATTAAGTTTGCGATCAAGTTCTGACGGCCGCCGATTTAGTAATAATTCTCAGCTTTTAGTGCGGATTTTTCCAAGGAAATTTATTTTATATCAGAATTGAAAAACAATATTTAAGATAAAAAGTTAACCCAGACGGTTATTTGTTAAAGTTTATAAACAATATTTTATCGAAATGGATGAATGTGTAAGTGTGATTGATCTCAGAAACTAGAATTCCATGTACCATCGGAACTGGAATATATTATTATACTTATATAGATATTATCCACTCAATGAAGAGCAAACTGTTTGTCTGTAGGGGTAATCGAAGTTACGACCCGCAGCCCTACAGTCAGGGGCCCTATCTACTGCGCCAACGCCTCTGTCAATAGGTTTTGATGGTTTACTTATATCAAACCTTAATCTAAAAGCTAAAGTAACCTTATAGTAAATTACTCTCACTTTTTTTTAGACCTCCCTATTCTAGTAATCTCGAGGGGTTATTCTAGATTCACCGAAGTAGTAGGCGAGCTCACGGGGCTCAAACCTGTCGACACTGCTAGCACTAGCCCTAGCAAGAGCAGTGCTTCGCAGAATCTACCACCGGATCGGAAACGCGACCCACTGAGAAGATCCGGCGAGAAGCTCAGTGGGCTGTGTCTGTGGGATCTTTCATGTTACGTGATAACGTTCTAGTAAAGTATTTGCAAGATTAAAAAATAGTTTTAACTGAATCTAGGACTCCCGAAAACCGAACCATATACATATTTACTAATTTAAACTTCTCTTGTTTTTCTGTGATTAAAAATCTTCTTTCTTTTGTTACAGATACTTTGGCGAATACAATGGAATCTGCACACACAGAAGAAACTACATACATTCCAAATTCATGAATTTTATTCTTGCATCCAAGACCTAAGAGAAATGCTACGTAGTATAAATGCTGGCTAGAATAAACAAAGCAGTGCTATCAAATTTTTAACGTTCACAAACTCTGTGCGGTGATGTATGTTTGGGCATTTCAGGGTTATGGCGTTCAGAGTGGCGGCTCTGTTGCGTCCATAATCTATGAAATGACCGAAGTATGAGATTTTTGAATGCGAATGTGACGTGAAACGAATTTGATAGTATTGTACATTGTACGATCTCTTTGTAGAGATTTTGTAGAGCTGTGACGAAAAAAGTTTAAGATTACATTTGAAAAATGTAGTTTTTATTATTCAGGATTTCGATATATTTTTTTTGTATGCATTCACCGTAATTCCCTATACGAACGAACTGTTTTCTTAGAGAAATGTGTATGTCCATACAAATTTTTTTTANAAACGAATTTGATAGTATTGTACATTGTACGATCTCTTTGTAGAGATTTTGTAGAGCTGTGACGAAAAAAGTTTAAGATTACATTTGAAAAATGTAGTTTTTATTATTCAGGATTTCGATATATTTTTTTTGTATGCATTCACCGTAATTCCCTATACGAACGAACTGTTTTCTTAGAGAAATGTGTATGTCCATACAAATTTTTTTTACCAAGTTCCATCTGCTTATTTCGATTTTGTTGTGTCCACAGACATAATGCGGCATAGCGTATTCAAGGGCCTGAAGGTCATAGACTTCCGCCTCAGCAACAAGGTCTTACAGAACGAACTCGACGAGGCGGTCCTAAACCTTCACGTCCAGGAGCTAGACAACAGAAACACCACCTTCGACCCCGAAGAGTTGTTCACGATAAACCTTCAAGTGAGCAGGGTGACGCGAAACAGTCAGGGTGGGAAGGCGTCGGTACTGTACTCTGAAAATTCGGTTACGATGACAAGAAGAGATTTGAAATTAGGGAAGTGGTTGAAAGTGAACGTGACGACGATGGTGGAGGAGTTCTGTAGGCTGCCCAGGGAGAGTTTAGCTATAGTTGCGAGAGTACAAGACTCGAGCGATCGGATTGGACTAGTCGTACCACATCCGAGCTCGGAATCAAATCATGCATTGGTGAGTTCATTAATAATAATAATACAATATATGAGTCGACTATTATCAAAGCCGGCAATGTGACTTTTGGACAATGATTGGTAAATCAGAAAAACGAATTATTGACTTTGTATTCCATTGGCAGTCACAAAACTCTTCTGAACTACATCTTAGATAAATAACAGGTTAAGTATTAACCTTTATTTAAAGCAGGTTTTGAACCGTATTCTTTGAAGAAGACGATTATATTCAAATCAATCTGTATTGACATATCAATAACATTTTTTTGTCCAAATGCACAGATTGCCACCTTTGATAATAGACGACTCATATATGCGAGCGTACTATGAGGCTACGGAGGGAGAAACCAACCTTTCTGCGTATCGCTCAAGAATGTTCTCTGTGTTAATACAGAAAGCAGTTATCCTCGATACTGCACGCATTGTGAGGAGGTTTCTCACTCTGTAGTCCTAACCACTGGTGGCTTGTGTCGTAGACAACGCCATCAATGGCAATCTATTTCTATATAGTGTTTATAAAAATAAAAAAAAATTAATATCTTTTTTTTTTTTATTTTTTTTTTAATGCTTAGGTTTGTGGACGAGCTCACAGCCCACCTGGTGTTAAGTGGTTACTGGAGCCCATGGACATTTACAACGTAAATGCCCCACCTCGAAATATGAGTTCTAAGGTCTCAGTATAGTTACAACGGCTGCCCCATCCTTCAAACCGAAACCCATTACTGCCTCACGGCAGGAATAGGCAGGGCGGTGGTACCTAACCGTGCGGACACACAAGAGGTCGTACCACCAGTAAAAATACAATACATTATTACATTATGCAGTATTATACAATTAAAATCAATGTGTCTACGTAAATATAATTGTACACATTATAAACTACACATTCGCTGCGTAGTAACATGTAATGATTTACATACTGACGTTATCAGAACCAGAAATGAGGAGTTGTCAAAAAAGTTTTTTTTACAATAAGCGACAAAGATCACCTTATCATTTCAATAAAAACTGGGTCAATCCATTTTGTTATCAAGATAATTACGACGCAGAAATATGTGCGACGAACAAAAAATTCGTGTTATGCACTGAAAAAATATATTGAAGTTGATATAAGATGTTATTTTCCACATTGCTTTTTTTTTTTTATTGCTTACATGGGTGGACGAGCTCACAGCCCACCTGGTGTTAAGTGGTTACTGGAGCCCATAGACATCCACAACGTAAATGCGCCACCCACCTTGAGATACAAGTTCTAAGGTCTCAAGTATAGTAACGACGGCTGCCCCACCCTTCAAACCGAAACGCATTACTGCTTCACGGCAGAAATAGGCAGGGTGGTGGTACCCACCCGCGCGGACTCACAAGAGGTCCTACCACCAGTAATTACGCAAATTATAATTTTGCGGGTTTCATTTTTATTACACGATGTTATTCCTTCACCGTGGAAGTCAATCGTGAACATTTGTTGAGTACGTATTTCATTTGAAAAATTGGTACCCGCCTGCGGGATTCGAACACCGGTGCATCGCTTCAACACGAATGCACCGGACGTCTTATCCGTTAGGCCACGACGACTACGTCCGGTGCATACGTGTTGAAGCGATGCACCGGTGTTTGAATCCCGCAGGCGGGTACCAATTTCGTACTCTACAAATGTTTACGATTGATTGTTGTTTTTAAATTCGCCAATAAGCAGGCAAAGAGCGTAGCCTATACAGCCTAGTCTGTCGTAGTTATATTTTTTATGTCAATAAAAAGCCGGTGTATCCGAGGGAGTGAGCATGAATTTCCGCAGACGTTTTATCTTGAAAAAAAAAAACAGTCACTGCTATGTTAGCCACAGTTTTATTCCAATGCCTCAATAATCGTGAACAACGATTATTGACGTTTAATACACAACACCCAATTTATATATTATATAATAATAAACTATTAAAAAAACATTAAAATAAAACTTCAAGTGACGCTTCACTCGGGTTGCTGCCAAAACTCTCTGATCACATATAATAAGAATAGAGTAATGGTAGGCCATTGAGATTTTTACTATTGGAATCATTAATATCTAAAAATATTAAATAAAATAACTCATGGTTTTAAGTAATAATTATTATTACAATATATAAATATTGAATTGAACAAAAATAAACTAAAAAGTCTGTGAATTATAACCAATAGTTATTTTTTTTTAATTTGTTGTTCAAGTCACAAACAACTCTTTCGTTTGGCAGCATATAGGTTTACTATAAGGCTGTATGGGCTAAGCCCTTTGCCTATTGGCGAATTTAAAAACTATGGCACGAAGTTTTGGGATGTTAACAAATGTGTCGACTATTATCAAAGGCGGCAATCTGACTTTTGGACAATGATTGGTAAATCAGAAAAACGAATTATTGACTTTGTATTCCATTGGCAGTCACAAAACTCTTCGGAACGACATCTTAGATAAATAACAGGTTAACTATTAACCTTTTTTTAATGCAGGTTTTGAACCGTATTCTTTGAAGGAGACGATTATATTCAAATAAATCTGTATTGACATATCAATAAAAATGTTTTGTCCAAATGCACAGATTGCCACCTTTGATAATAGACGACTCAAATATGTAATTTATTTTTTTGTAAAACAATGCCAGTTTTAAAGAAATGTTGATACATAAACTAAACAACGTAAAAAAATAAGGCATAGTTTTTCAAGTACAAATAGTTTTGACATAAAGTTGGCCCACTTTTGGGCATTGTCCTTTATTTACTAGTGCTCAAGTATGGTTGAATGGCATTAATCTAAAATTTTCTCCTGTGTTATGTGTACCGAAAACCCACAAACGAACAAGTTCACTAGTTATAGCTTTTCACTTTGAATCGAACCCCTATACCGTGTTATAGTGGTCTAGGATGTGCAATGTCATTAAAACAAGAAACACAGCATTTTAAATTTTCATTGCATCTCTATTTGTGTACTGCGCGTTATTAACCCGAACACGCACATATTATATTTATTCTCATAAAAAAATTTTTTTTTTTTTTTTATCAGCCAACATTAAATTTTTTTTAAACATTTTTTTTAACATTCGACCCGGAACTTGTCAAATCACATAACGTTTATTTATATTACAAGATGGATAATGATTTTGTTTTTGTTGTTTCAATACATAAAAACTTTACGAACAAACTAATATTACTATTACCATTACCATTTTATGTTAGTACTAGCGACCCGCCCTCGCTTCGCTTCGGAAACATTAAAACAAATATGAAACCAAAAAAAATAAATAAAAAATAAAATAAAAAAAGTAGCCTATGTTCATCAGGGACAATGTCGGCTTCTAATGGAAAAAGAATTTTTCAAATCGGTCCAGTAGTTTCGGAGCCTATTCGAAACAAACAAACAAACAAATCTTTCCTCTTTATAATATTAGTATAGAAGTATAGATTAGTATAGACTAGCGACCCGCCCTCGCTTCGCTTCGGAAACTGAAAATTATTATTGATTTCTCCACTATTTAATGGATGTTATTATACATATAAACCTTCCTCTTCAATCACTCTATCTATTTAAAAAAACCGCATCAAAATCCGTTGCGTAGTTTTAAAGATTTAAGCATACATAGGGACAGACAGATAAAGGGACAGAGAAAGCGACTTTGTTTTATACTATGTAGTGATTTAAAGAAAATGCCCAGTCGGGATATAAGGTACATCCAAATTTGTTTTTCAAACCATGCTTACTACTTAAAACGTTACGTGTTGATTTTGTTTATGAAATTTTCGCGCTATCTCTGTCTCTCTCTCGTAAGACAACTGATGAATTGATGCAATTGATTGGGCCTTCTAGCCTGGGCTGCGTGTTGGTTGGTACTCCTAAAGTGACGATGTGATGACGACCATGGCCGTGAGATCTATAGTATTCTCTTTAGATCACCTACGCGAGCTGTAGACATTTTTTTTATTGTCCTTGTAGGCAGACGAGCATACGGCCCACCTAATGGTGAGTGGTTACCGTCGCCCATGGACTTCAGCAATGCCAGCGTTAAGTGCTCTCCACAAGCCTCGTTTGAAGAAGGATATGTCATAGTGCTCGGGAAACATCGTGGAGGGGAGCTCATTCTAAAGCCGGATGGTACGTGGCAAAAACGATCTCTGTTAACGCACTGTGGATGAACGCTGTGGCTCCAGGTAATATGGATGAACTCTACTCTGGTGGCGAGCGGTGCGATAGTAAAAACGAGATGATGGTATCATCTCAAACAATTCCTCAGAGACCTCCCCATGGAACATTCGGTACAAAAACTACTTAATTTTACTTAATTAAAACTACACATACGGCTTCGTGTCGTCTTTTATGTTATTGTCATTACATAATTTACTAATTTCTTTTTCGTTTCCATTACTTTACAGTCTCCATGGTGACTTAGAACTGAATATATAATTTATGTAAATATGAAATAATTACAACAAAAAAAAAAAACGCGGCACAAAAGCTATTTTTATTATGCCGTGACCTCTGCTCATCGTATGTAGCAACATGACGTAGCAAATAAAACTTGACAAAAATCAATTGCTCCTCAACCGTACATACCTTGAACTATCACACGTATTTTGTAAAATAGGTATATCAAATAGTTATATAACGGTTTTTTTTTATTTATTTTTTATTGCTTGGATGGATGGACGAGCTCACAGCCCATCTGATGTTAAGTGGTTACTGGAGCCCATAGGCATCTACAACGTAAATGCGCCACCCACCTCGAAATATAAGTTCTAAGGTCTCAGTATAGTTACGACGGTTACCCCACCCTTCGAACCGAAACGCATTACAGCTTCACGGCGGAAAAATAGGCGGGGTGGTGGTACCTACCCGTGCGGACTCCCAAGACGTCCTACCACCAGTGATAACGCAAATTATAATTTTGCGTGTTTGATTTTTATTACACGATGTTATTCCTTCACCGTGGAAGTCAATCGTGAACATTTGTTGACTACGTATTTTATTAGAACAATTGGTACCCGCCTGCGGGATTCGAACACCGGTACATCGCTTCATACGAATGCACCGGACGTCTTATCCTTTAGGCCACGACGATTCCATATTCTATCGTACCATACGTTTTTTAATACGTACAATCTGGCGTAAAGTTTTTCATAGTCGTATGTATTCTCCATGTCATCGATTAGCTTATGTCGTAATACAGAACCTAGTCCACCAACGGTAATTGAGGCCTATAAAATCAAAGGCAGCTAAATCCAAGTCTGTCAAATATTCAGATAAACTACAAAAATCGGCCCTAAAAAGGTCATTACGGATCCTCCCGATCCATAATAGTACTGCTCTTGCTAGGGCCAGTGTTAGCAACACTCCCGGTTTGAGAAACTGAAATAACTTTGTTCGGATAGCTATGATATTCTTTATTTTAAAGCAGATTTATAAAGAATGAGAATATTACTAATAATCTGAGTTTTAAATGATAAAACTTCGTTTATTAGTACTTAGTACAGGGTAAAAATTAAATATTTGAACTGAATTTGTTAGAGAATTAGCTGCATTTGTCATAATATGAAAACACTAAAGCGTGTTCAACTAACTAAACAAGATAGGGCCATTGTTAATCCATTTTACGACATTAAGGCGTTTAGCTGCCTTTGATTTCATAGGCCTAAATTGTACCTATATTTTTCTAGAAACGAAAACCAGATAGTAATAGCGAGGCCAAAAGTGTTTTATTCGTTTAAAATAATAATAAAAATACACATTTTTGATTTTCTTCGTTCGTTTGTTATTTATTTATTTATTTATATGCTGATCTTTTTTAAGATGTCTGCTGCTGTGACGTTTAAAATTTAATTTCCTCTCTTCGTGTTTGGATGAAGCGTGTCTAACAAATGCAAAGGAAACACTCAAATTTTACCTTATTCTTTCAGATTTTTTACTGGTCGTAGGACCTCTTGTGAGTCCGCACGGGTAGGTACCACCGCCTTGCCTATTTCTGCCGTGAAGCAGTAATGCGTTGCGGTTTGAAGGGTGGGGCAGCCGCTGTAACTATACTGAGACCTTAGAACTTATATCTCAAGGTGGGTGGCGCATTTACGTTGTAGATGTCTATGGGCTCCAGTAACCACTTAACACCAGGTTGGCTGTGAGCTCGTCCATCCATCTAAGCAATAAAAAAAAAGATGCCATATATACTCAAATTTTACCTTATTCTTTCAGATGCCATATATAGAAGTAAGTCTCAAGGACAACACGCATAAGCGCACACGGCGTACCGTCGTCATGGACTGCACGGAGAGCACCAAGGAAGTCCGCTGCTGCCGCTATCCCCTCGTCGTGAACTTCGAAGAGTTCGGCTGGGATTGGATAATAGCTCCGAAATTTTACAACGCTAACTATTGCAGCGGGGAATGTCCGTACAGCTTCCTGCAGAAGTACCCTCACACGCATCTGATACATCTATCCTCGCCCCAGGGCAGCGTGGGCCCGTGTTGCGCGCCGAGGCGGATGACCAGCATCTCGATGTTGTATTTCGACCACAACTCCAACATAATATATGGGACGATCCCCGGCATGGTTGTCGAGAGCTGTGGTTGCTCATAGCTGAGGGTTTTGTACTGGCTTCGAGTGTTCAATCCATTATTAACATCTTAATAAATTTTAACGTATTTTTTTTTAAATTCGATTCGTTTCCAGTACGCTAGTTAATGGTTTTAATTGAAATTCTTAACGGTGAAATCTGTGTATTTTCTTTCCTTTTCATCGAACTGTCCCTGGAGTTTTAGTTAGTTCTTGTCTCTCTTTCTTTCTATACTTGTCTTAGTTGTGACAGTGAAATAGAAATAAATACAATATGGCGTCTGACAATCAAAAATTTAGGGGAATTAAATGATTAATTTTCTGATATTTCAACAATACGTCAATAGAACAGATACGCGCGTTCCATTTTTTTCTACATCAATTTTATATTACCATATTACTTTTTAGTATGTCAAGCACTCGTGGCCAAGTGTAGTGTTTATATCTTTGTGATAAATTCTGTTGAAGACTGGTAAACCGTATGTGTTGAGTGTGGCGAGAGTGAAAAAAACTTATTATTGAAAATTTATTTCTGATTTGTGTCTACGTTTTAGTTTAAATGATACTGTCGTTTTATTCATTAAATTTCGCATGCCTTTCCCTTTTTAATCGAAAAATAATAATAGTAATATTTTTAAATCGATTTTTTTTTTTAGTAGTTTTTCTTCGAACTGTCATTAGTTGTGTTAATTGATACATTATAATCATTATTTATTTTTTATTTTCTAAAACAAATCGTATCAGTTAATAGAATTAAATCAATATACTTGAACTTATTTTATAACGAAATGACCTCTTAACATCTGTTGAAGATAGCTACAAAAGTTCAGAGTATGATAGTTTATCTTTTTTTAACGCAAATGTACTAAGAACCACTTCGATACTCAGTAATGGCATTTATTTTTTTCTTTAAGTCTTAAGCTCTATATTTTAAGACTTATTTTTAATTACTAATAAAAACGAAGAAGCAAATTATCGAAGTAACAATTTTATTGGTTATATAAATGTTTTTTTTTTTTTTTTGATAAAAAAGCAATCAATTTAATAACAATTACTTACGGAATAACGGAGATAAAAGCATGAAGTCACTTCGGATTAGCGTGTCTATTAAAAACGTTTTATTTTTCTCTATGGTTCAAAATGGCTGATCGAATTATGACAACTTTCAATTTATTATTGCATTACGTGTCCTGTATTTTCGCATTTTGTTTTTATTATTACCTATGTTCTTAGTATGTTATCATTAAATTTTCACATTCACTGTAGCTTATAATTTTAGCTTTACGTAAATCGATGTCTTATGTACTTGTCAAATTTCATTACACTTTGGATCTCGCTCAAAATTATATGTCCTTACGTTTTAAAAAAAAAATCTTCTCGGAATAGGTTTTAGCGGGTAGTGCTTAAAATACGACGATTTTAAAAGATGTTAATGAAGTACCTACCCATTATTTTTAGACGTATTATTTTGGCGTAACAGGGAACCGGACGTGTTTTATTTTTCATACAAACTAATACTATATAGGCTGGAAGTATCTATTAATTGTGACGTATTTTGGTGCCGGTAACGAAACAACTATTGAACCCACATAAAGTTTTGGAACGAAGTTCCTTATCGCGCGTTGTGAAAGGGGGCTAGACGGAAAAAATTCTTACGAAAAGTTGTCACGACACTTTTTAGATCCGTCATTTTGACCAATCAACGTGTAGGCGCTTATCGCGTGACATTGCTCGTATCCGATTGGTCCGCGTAATGAGTACCGTTTCTCGAGATAGCGTTTCAACAATAGTAATTTAGTTCATAGTATTGTTTTTTTCTTCTTCATAATGCCGTAATTTATTATTATAACTTAAAAAAAAATTACAATTCCTTCACTAATTAATCGAAAGGAACTTCGTTCCATCCGGGTGTCCCTTGACACCTCTGAAGTTTTTTCATATGTCAATAGGTAAACGACTATTTGGTTTAATCGATATTTCGCTTAATATTTTTTGTTTTAGTTTGCAATACAGCATATTCTCTATCTCTGTCTATCCATTGACGATGAAAACGAAACTTATTAAAGTTAATACTTATATCCAGGGGGCTCAAGCGACATTTCACTTACGTGTGACATTTATTTTTGTAATTTAAGGTCCGTTTTATTTGGTATTAGCATCAACAGTTCAATGTTTTTAATCGAATATTAATTAAGTTTACTTCGATCAAATAGCTGAAGAATTTTTTTGTTATGATATTATTTTAACTAAATATAAAACTTTTAATTGCTCTCCTGTAATGTCGCTTTAACCAAATCGCACCTTTAAAATTGAATTGCCTTAATCCGAAATTCTTGTTTTTTTGGTAAACGCCAAAAATGTAATTAGAGAATTGTAATTTGTACAGTTTCGATTTTAATACTTTAAGCTTTAAAGCGCATACCTGAAAGTTTAAAGTATGCGCTTAATTTCAACGAGACGGAAAGTACACATTGCTCTTTTCTCGGCTAAAATTTAAATTTAATTTTGAATTTTCAAAAACTTAATTTTATAAGCTTCTACAATACATGTCTGGAAGTCAGTATGTCAATGTATGTAACTCATTTTCTTAAAATTTCTAGTTAAGCCACTTTAATTCTAAGGGTGCGAAATAAGCTTCCATCTCGCGATGTCAAATCGAACATTGCAATTGTTGTAGCTTTTGAAATATAATAGTTAAAATTTCACAATAATAGTGACCGAATGTAAGTTTTGATTTAACTAACCTTTTACAGCTAATTTTCACGTGGTTCTTTTTATAATGACGTCCGGTTGCCTGTTTTAGCGTATTATAAGTTTTTTTTTTTTTTAGTAAATTTTTTAAAGGCGTAGAATTCCAAAAAATATATTATGCAGATCTCAGTGTGGCGCGAAAAACGTGCCTTATAAAAAAAAAGATCTCCCAGAGTTTCGGTTTACAAAATTTGGAAAGTGATTTTTATACAACCATTATTTTATATTTAGGCGAACTGTGTTTACGTAATGTTTAACAAATATTAAAAAAAAACAGTGTCAATTAAGAAGCAAAGAATAATTCTACGTACATATATTTTGTGGGTGTAAAATCTTTTTTGTCTGGAAATATATGTCTGTGAAATGATTTTTGTCGTATTGTTTTTTTTCTACCCTCGTTTTGTTTAAATTACTTTTTTTCCTACCTGTTCTAGTTCTAGATTCACCGGGCGAGTAGGTGAGCTCACGAGGCTCTAACATGGTGTTAAGCGACTGGTGGTAGGACCTCTTGTAAGTCCGCACGGATAAGTACCACCACATAGCCGTCGGGGCTCCGTGGTTCGTGAGGAACGGTGACCTGCACGACGACCTGGGCCTCGAATCAATTCAGAAATACATGAAATCAGCGTCGGAACAGTACTTCGATAAGGCTATGCGTCATGATAATCGCCTTATCGTTGCCGCCGCTGACTACTTCCCGAATCCTGATCATGCAGGAGCCTGTCACCGTCGACGCCCTAGACACGTCCTTACGGATCCATCAGATCCAATAACTTTCGCATTAGACGCCTTCAGCTCTATTACTAGGAGCAGGCTTAGGGACCTCGGTAACCGTACTCGTCGAACTCGACCAAGAGGTTGACGTGCAACCTAACCCATGCATCAGCCCGCTGAGTTTCTCGCCGGATCTTCTCAGCCGGTCGCGATTCCGATCCGGTAGTAGATTCATTCGCGAAGCAATTGCTCTTGAGTTGTTAGGTCTCCTTCGGAGGCGCTCGGGCAGTTGTTAGCAAATCCCACCCCTCCTGGCTGAGCCTTTGCTCGCCCACCTGTCCTGGTGAAGCTGGAAAGGCCTTCGGGCCACTAGTAAAATTTCAATCATAAAAAAAAAGGTACCACCACCCAGCCTATTTCTGCCGTGAAGCAGTTCGAATGCGTTTCGATTTGAAGGACGGGGCAGCCGTTGTAACTATACTTGAGATCTTAGAACTTATATCTCAAGGTGGGTGGCGCATTTACGTCCAGTAACCACTTAACACAAGCAATAAATAAAAAACATTAAAAACCCTTCGATGTTATAAATAAAATACGAACGATATTCGTGAGCGCCATCCTCTTAGAACAGCGACCGTTTATTTATATATAAACTTTAAATTTATTTACAGGTTTCATTTCACCTACTTTACATTTAATACGCTTCGTCAACGTCATTTTAAAATACGTACAAAACAAAAATAATATCATATTATAATTATGTAACAGAATTACACATGACAAAATTTACAATTATACCACACTATAATTATCATTATTGGAATACGATTTACGTCAAAAAAAGAACAACAACAAAAAAAACAATTCGACAAAGTAATCGTTCTAACATATTTTATATGTAATTGAAAATTCATTTACAGCAGATACCTCGTTTGTGTGTGTGTTTGTAAACTAATGAGCAGTGGTTCCGAAAGTGTATATTAAAAAAAGGGGGCCATAGATGGAATCCGCTATAAAATATATTATTCTAGCACGTCGTGAACATATATTTGATTTTCCATGAAAATAAAAAAAAAAACATACACAGAGCTAATAACATATAAGTATCAATTAGAGTTTTGTGTTTACTTAATAATGTCTCTAATGTGTAATGGACATTGCATATATTGTTTAATTTAAGATACGACGGTCTAATGACCGGCATAGAAGAGACCTTTGAATATAACTTTACTGAACCGGGTTACTAAAGCTCAAAAAAGGGAGCTCAAAGTCGAGTGAAATGGACACAATACCTATAAAGTTTGAGAACCACTGATGCGTTCTGCTAGACGAATTTGGCATGCTCGATAAGCGCATACTTAGAACGAATTGAGACAGATACTCTTAGTAGTAGGGCGTGAAGCAAATACGTTTATTTGTAGATTTTTTGACGTAAATCTCATATTTTAGGAGGAAAAAATTTGCTGGACTAGTATACCCAATTAGAAAAAATAAACAATCCCACGTTTTGATTAACATTCATCTACCCGCAAGTATTCCATAAAAGTTTTGACCATATATAAAGGTATATAAATTAATGCTAAACATTCAATAAGAGCGGTCAAAAGTTCTATTTAATACTTCAGTCTATAATATTGCTTTATAGATTCAATTGATACACGTAAGAGTTAAATTAAGTTGCTGTAAACAATTCCTTATTCTTTTCAACGGTTTCATTCATTCGTTTTATTTTCATGGCATCAATTCGGTAGATTTAGCAGAAAAGTGATTTCAACAGAGCTGCCTATTAATAAAATAAATGATTGGGGGCGTACATGAATTTGAATGGAATCACAGAGTTTTAGTTAGTAGAAGTAACAATGTGAGAGTAATTTATCCAGGCTAATAATTTAAATAGTACTAGCTGTATCCGTCCGCTTCGCTGGGCATTTAAAATTTACATTATTATTTCTCCCATTAATTATTACCATTATTATTCTCCCATTTATTACCCCCACAAAGATTCTCATCATTAACGCCCCCGCAACTGGTGTAGGGAGTCCAACACTCATATAAATATTAGCCTGTCCATTAAGTACATATATTTTCTACATGGATACCCAAGTCAATCGGATGCACGGTTCAGTAGTTGTAACGGAACATCCGTAAAAACCACTGTAGATTCATATATTAGTATAGATGCTAAGGTGGTTAACTTTGTGATGAAAATAATTTTGATGAATGTAGAGCACTCTGTGACCCCGGACAGAAACCATAATCACTCTACCTATTTTTGTCGTGAAGGTCATCTGTTGAAGGGATACAATGATACATAACTATGATAGAGACTTCAATCTCACATAAAAAATTATGTTCCTTCATTTAAGGTGTGTTTTTTTTAGCCTTTAAAACTACACGTATCCAAGCTCGTGGGAGTTTTTTAACCCGTTCCTAAATGTATCACATTGCCTCGTTTGGAAAACATTTTTTTTCTGTCTCATTTCTTATATAAGTCCCAGAGTTTTTATGACACATCACGATTTAGGAAAGCTACCTTCGATTTCGCGAAGTTGTAACACAATGTTTAGTGAAATAACTTTTCTGCCAACAATACTATTAACTATGTATACATTTTACATAACATTTTTTTCCTTTCGATACTTTACTTTGATTAAGACGTAATAGTTTTAGTAAACACTAACTTCTAATATACAGGAAAGTGCACAACATCAAATGGTGTCAGTCTATATAAGTTTGGATGGACTTATGTTAAATACCATTCAAAGGGAAAATAAATAAAGAGCTGTCAAAAGAATTAAATATATATATAAAAAAAAACTGCTACTAACCGTTACATTTTCGTGGCAGTGATGATTGTTCGCGAAAAATAATATATTAACTTATTAATTTTTTTAAATTAATTAATTACCCGCAAAATGTTGTTTTTGTGACAAATATATTACAGACCTTGTGTATTTATTGAGAGTACATACGTAATGAGCGGGCTGTCGATACTGTAGACTTTTATGAAGCGATATCAGGATATTTTAGAATTTTCCGATGATGATACAAACTGGATTGAATCCTTCTCCCGTAAGGCTATTGACATGGTTTCTTGCATATAGTCCTGGATAGCGACAAGGGACACTAAACAGAAATATATGGATTTATAGGAAAACTATTTCTGAGTTATACATAAGAATGAATTCAAAACTAGTCAGCATGGAACACTGAATAGATCCTGATCTTTTAAGAGTCAATTCGTGCATGTACGTAATATTCGAGTCAGATTTATTTATGTTAAGCTTTTTATAACCGTGAGATGTATCTTATGTTGCATATATCGTGTGCGTCGGTTCCCAACGCCCCTCCCGAGCCCCCCAACGTCACAAGATTTATCTCGGTTATGTTTTTCAAGCGAAGTTTGCCAAATAGGTAACAAACAACAATCATGATTTTGAGGTATCATTCCGTCTTACACAGCATTTTAGTTTCTTTACAAGATAAATCTTAATTATTATTGGAATTTTAGCTATTATTTATTTTAAAAAAGCTTTAAGACAGTAAAATTATAAAAAGGATCACAGTTCTCTTATCTACATCAAAAATGCCATTAAAATGCCATGATAATAAAGGTAGTAAGTAACAGTAGTAAGGACACGCTGGAAGTACTAAACATACTTACTCTACACTAACTGTACACATTGCTAAATCCATTTATTACATATATATAAAAAAAAAAAACAAAAAACAAAATGGTCGCAACACTGAAACTTGAGCTTTACATACATTTAAATAGGATCACAGTGGAAAAGTGATTTTTTTTTTTTAATTTACGTTACTATAAATATATTTGAAGTCCATGTTTATGGCAAGTTCTCTACGTAAACTCTATCACTTATCGTGTTGCTATATGACACTAAATCTAACTCCATAGAAAAATTCATTTCACTATATTCTGTACAGTCCGATTCGTGCTTTGGACTCAGACGAGTGACGTCAGCGACGGCCGCTTCTTCCACCCGTATAAGCCAGAACGAAGTCTTTAAAAAGTACCTAATGCTTTCACTGAGAAGTCTCACAATCACATATGCACTGTTCAGAAACTGGGCTGGGATACAGTCCTGGGGTTGCCGCTCTGAGGCTGGTACACGTCGTAAGAATTGTGAGGCTCCAAATGGCAGACGACGTTGTTCTCCCCGTTGAGGACGGCCGCAAGCGCCCTCATGTTCTCTTGAGGCTGGTGGTATTGGTGCATCAGCCGACCGCTTTCGTAATGCCTCGGATCGTAGCGCTCTAACGTGTCCCATTTACCGTACTTCCCGTAATGCTCCGGGTCGTGGTGGTGCCTCTCGCCTGGGCTGTACGATATCAGCGGTCGGTGGTCCCCAAAAAACTTGGAGCTAGATGAGCCGTGGTGACCTACATTCTGTCTGCAGTCCGGTCCGGAGTTGTCGTCGGACACGTCTGACATCATCGTTTCGTTTCTCTCTATCTCCTCGTAAACCGGGTCGTCCTGGATCACGCGGAACTCCTGTTCGGATCCGCGCCTGTACATGCGGCCTTGTTGGGACGCTATCTCCGAATACGTGTGGTTCATGTTCTGGCTTCCGTGGTGATGGTGGTGTTTCCTGCGGTCGTCCTTGTAATGCTTCCGAAAAATCATCTCTTGACTTCCCGGCGAGTGCTGGGACATGTAGACGTGCGGGTTCCGGAAGTCGTGGTTGTAGCTCCGCGTGGTCTGGTATCCTTGATGATGGAGGGGGCTTTCTTCGTCTTTCATGTGGCGCGGTGAGCCAGGGGCCACTGGTTCGCACTCGTAAGGGCTGTGGAGGTGATTTGGGGGCGCCAGTTGCCTGGAGAGAGTGTCGTGATGCGGTAGCGTGGAAGTGTTCCCAACGTGGTGTTTAGAAGAAGTGTTCTGCAATACACGTCGATTAATGAGTTACACGAGAATGAAATAGCAGATCTGTTATTTGTGGCATTAAGAATGATTTCTATTTAAAAAAAAGAATGTATACTTTTAGATTATAAACTTCGCAAAGCTCGAAAAGCTTTATTAAAACACAAAAGACAGCTCAATTGTTTCGATGATATTTGAATAATTAAAACTCAAAAGTGTATTCGTAGCTCAAAATGGAAATTTTAAGACATTTTTGACTAGTCATTGTTAGTCGTGTTAGCTCGAAGCGATTTCAGATCGATGAGAGCTGTCGAAACAGCGGACTGCTGGTCGCTTGGCACCGGCGTCTCCTATCCGTGAACCGGAGTACTTATATAAAAATAGGGTTGCCAAAAAATTTAATTAATTAAATGATTCAGGATTTTTTTTAAATAAAATTGACCTATAAAATGAATATATATGATGATTTTTTTGTGCTTTGAAGTCTTTTTAAACTCATTTTAACCACTGATTTCGTGTCGAAGTCGTTCTACAGTGACCAAGTCTAGAACTGACGCGGTCTGTTACTAGCAAGGAATACTTTAGCCTTTATAATGAAAAAATGTAGGGATATATTTATTTTTTCAATTCGTGAATATAATGAATAAATAATTAATTACTTAACGTTTTTGCGAATCGCAAACAAACACAATTAAAACTCATTATCACCACTGATTATCTCATGATTCGATAACAATTTAAATGATTAATTCGATCGTGTTCTTTTGGGCGTATCGTTAAGGCTTCTTTACGTATATAATGGTGCTCTAGAAATGTCACGTGCTGTGTTATCGACGTCTGTGTAAAGGATTGGGCAGGGCTACGATGAATGTTAGGAAATTACATGCAAATGTTAAAGAGACGTAACATGCAAAACGTTTTAGTAAGACCCTTACCACTCCCTAAAAACATTGTAATAGTCTAAATAAGAAACCATCACACGTTTTTAAGGCAATATCCTAATTGCGACTACATCTAAAGCGGTATATGTGTAAAGTATTAAATGTTCGTCTAGATGTTATGTTTATCTAGTTTGAATTCGATTACGGAGCTCAGTATCTATGATGATGGTTTTGTGTGAATTTTCATTTTATTTGTTTGATAGATATTTTGTATGGATATAGAGAAGGAGGTAAATGGAAATCACTATTGAATTTATCGTGACGCTTCAATTCCTCTCATGACGTTTTCAATTTTCAAATTAGACTCGAATTGAATACGGCGTTCCATGATCGCGTCTTTGTTGTCGTCAAATAATTGAAGAAATTTATTGCCAGTTTAGCCACGTGATCGTGGAACGCCTCAGAGCGAGGTAACGCCGCACGAGTCATGTTTTTTCGTGCGTGCAGCCGGCTCCATCGAATTATAAGACGTTGTCACGTCCAAAAACATTCTCGTGTATTCGATAATCCACTTCTCGTTTACAGTTTCGGTGATCTTACTAAAACGCCAAACTAAAAACACTAAAACTGATAGGGAGACGAAGCGTTATTTACAGCCCACCCCTCACCTTCCATACACTGGCACCGACATTGCTGCCCGCCCATTCGTTCGCGCCAATCGAGGCCGCCATTTTGTTCGAAAAGCAAGATGGCGAACGCGACCTCAGATTTTGATAATCGTTCGGTATTTCCATCGCCCTGTAGCTATGCATAGACGCGATGCTATGTGAGTGCGACGCACTGTGGGGGATGTTTTGCGGAGTGGGCACACGGATCGATCTTGCGTCGTCGTTTGGCACGTATATCGGCGCGGTCGGGCGTACGTTCCATCTCGTTTCCGGATGTATGTTGTAGCTCTAATAAATATATAAATAGCTTATAGTAACAAAAAGGGAAGAGGCTACTACGGAAGCGCGCATACGCAGAGATAGGGCACCATAAACCGTATAGATCTCTAGTACGATCACGTTTAGAGGATGCGGTTAACCTCTAAAACCACCACACCACCAGAAGAACGTGTTAATGAACAAGACTAAAAGAATAGTTTGTTAGTTTTTTTTTTCTAATTTTTTTTTTCTTTTTAATCAAGCGTTAGATTTTTTTCATTGAATAATAATACATAAAAAGACTTACCTGTTATTTAAAAAAGGGCTCAGCCGCTAATGTTAGTCACGTTTTGGTTTTAGTCACAAAGTTACAGGACACAAATTAAAATTGAGCTGACTTTCATTAATCACAAAGTAGTGGTGGTTGGTATCTGGTGGTATTTTCGTAATTCTTTTAGTCTCCTATCTCGTCTGCGTATACGCACCTTGCTGTCCGTTTTGGCGGTAGCCCGGGGGGTATCTTCCGCTGCCAGCGTTTAGGGGATTTCGTAAATGTGCCATGGGAGCGGGGGGTTCTCTATCTTGAAGGTTATGACCGAAATTAGCCCCTGTCGCATTGAGACTAGGACCGAAATTGCTTGAATTGAAATTCTGGTTTTCTTGCGACGTTCGTCTATTCCTAGTGTGGTAATTATGGGCTGCGGCTGCGGCGGCCAGCGATGCTACAGCCGCGTTGTTTATAACGTTGTTGTTGTTATGATTGTTGTTGTTTACAACAACGTTGAGCGTGTTTATTACCAAGTTGTTGGTCGATTGAGCGGACGGGCCCGACGTGCTCGCTGTGTTCTGTGTGAATTCATATTATTGTATTTAGTTTTTTTTGGTTGTGTATGTACCATTGTGTGTTATATATATATACCGCCACCGAATGTTTCCCATAGCACATGCAGTTTTTTTTCGGAATATGTAAGCAATTTCTTAAAATAAATGAGCAGTAGCGTTTTATATGTTAAATGAAAATGATATGAGAACTCTGTTTAATTTTTATTGGGGAGATAAGTAAACACCTGAGCTATGGACATGAGCCTTGAGACATGAGGTCGAAATTTTAATTGTAGAGTAAAACGGCTGCCCCACAACTGCCCTACAACTAGAAGAGATGATTGCTTCGCGGGAGAAAACGACAGGCTGGTAGTACACACCCGGGCGTACCGGCAATATGATCCGGCTCTAGTAATACCTAACACAAATAATCAAAATAATGGCGTTTTACATTAATTACAAGATGTTATTGAAATTAATGAACAGCCCATTTTAGAAGTATTGGATAGCAATACATTTGAACCACCAACACTATAAGCCGTCGGGTTTGGTCATAGGTGAGATTTACTAACAGTATATGGTTTAGCTTTATGAAATTTCTATATTCTGAAATAAAAACCTACTATTATTATTATTATTCCTCCTTCATTGTGGAAGTCATTCGTGAACACGAATTAATTACGTATATATAACATTAGAAAAATTGGCACCAGCCTGCCGGATTTGAACGTTGGTATAGTCGCATCGTTAGATACGATTTCACCGAGCGCCTTATCCTTTAGGCCACGACAGCATGGCTTTTAGGGATTCGTTTATTCTTAGTTTTTTTTACACCAAAAGCGCAATCTTAAGCCGTTTAAAATGCCCGTTAAGTAATTTGAAAAAAGCCCAATGACAGCGGCATTTTAAGGCCACGACCAGTTCAGCAATTCCACTTACCGTCACATCTCTGGGGTCCAATTCGTCGTCAGGCGGCGCGGCCTGGTGGTACCTCCTGCTCTTGACGGAGCCCTGGCGCGTGTCGACGTGGTTCGAGCTGGACCCCGAGGGTCCGTTGTTGTGCTGAAGAGTCTCCGAGGGCTGCCCCGTCCAGTACAAGCAGCACGAGAGCCAGCGGTGGCGACGACTCAGACGAGCGCATTCGTTGCGGAACTATTAATTAACCGACTCTTTACTATTTTTATTTTTTATTGCTTAGATGGGTGGACGAGCTCACAGCCCACCTGGTGTTAAGTAGTTACTGGAGCTCATAGACATCTACGACGTAAATGCGGCACCCAATTTGAGATATCAGTTCTAATACCAGTAATAACTGCTTTATTAATGCAACTTTTTTTTTTTTTTGCCCTTGTAGGCAGACGAGCATACGGCCCACCTGATGGTGAGTGGTTACCGTCGCCCATGGACTTCAGCAATGCCAGGGGCAGAGCCAAGCCGCTGCTTACGGTTAATACTCTCCACAAGCCTCGTTTGAAGAAGGACATGTCATAGCGCTCGGGAAACACTACTACTCGGCAACTATTATTATTATTATTATCACACAATTAATAGATTCTATTTTTTTTTTATTTTTTTTTTTTTATTTTTTCTTATCAACCGAAGAGCTTACCTTGTCATTCTGGAGACAATGGAATATGAAGATGACCAATCCTTGGAGAGAGTTCAGGATGGTAAACGCATAAGCCATGATCACTGTCTGCTGGTTTAGGTAGAGAAGACCGAAAGCCCAAGTCAAGCCCAACAAGAACACTAAAACGAGGGAGCTCTTCAACCAGACCCTGAAAAAGAAAAAAAATTATAATATCGCCATTACGGATATATTAGTATAATAGTAATAACCGGATACCGGGATCCGTGACGATTTACGGTCATTACTTGACTAAGGATTTTTATTTATTGCTTAGTGGGTGGACTAGCTCACGGGTTCGGCGAGGAATATCAACTATAGTGCAAAGTATCGATGAAAAAATGGAAGTTGTTAGTACTAATAAGAAATTGTTTTAGACCACAATGCAATTAAGAAGAGAACAGGTAGGAGACTCGTCGTAGGACCTCTTGTGAGTCCGCACGGGTAGGTACCACCACCTTACCTATTTCTGCCGTGAAGCAGTAATGCGTTTCGGTTTGAAGGGTGGGGCAGCCGTTTTAACTATACTGAGACCTTAGAACTCATATCTCAAGGTGAGTGGCGGCATTTACGTTGTAGACGTCTATGGGCTCCAGTAACCACTTAACACCAGGTGGGCTGTGAGCTCGTCCGCTCAATAAATCTCAAGAAATTCAGTGCTTTCAGTTTATTGAAAATTCCTAAATATTACACATCTTTTGATAACGCTTGCCCCCATCGTCAAATTCGGACGTATTCGGTATTCTATTTCGGTAAATTTACGAATGTGTTAGATTAGGAACACATGTACGTAATTACATTTAACGATTAGCACGTGTTTGACTATGTATGTAATTATACCAGCAATACATCACTTGTAGTCTGGCTAGACGGGGGTAATTTTTAAAACAAAAAAAAACTCTTTGTCTGTGTGTTGCATTATATTTTTAAAACATTTTTATTCGCTTGACATTTATCTGTCTAGGTTACAGATTTTATTCTTCTTTTTTTATTGCTCTTGTAGGCAGACGAGCATACGGCCCACCTGATGGTGAGTGGTTACCGTCGCCCATGGACGTCAGCAATGCCAGGGCCAAGCCGCTGCCCACCGTTATTAAGATTAATAATATAATAAATCTATATCTAATATAACAAGTGGTCGCCCGGTAGTCGAAATTCGACAATAATTATTAATTGAAATTATAAGTTTGAACATTATTATGGTTCTATTGTCAAAGGCTTTACTTCTATAATCACATTTCACTAAGGCTACACTACAGACAAATAATATTAAAGAGATCAATATTAACCTATCCTCAACTTGACCACAGACTTTAACAATAAACAAAATAGTATATATGTGTAGTATAGTGTTAAATACACGTTAGTGTGTGTAATGTTTTCTTTATTGATTTAATGTATCTTGTATGCATTATTTAAAAAAAAATTAGCATTCTGCACTCCTTCTCTATATTCTCTATAAGTGTGGGAAATTTCATGCTCCTCCGTCCGCGCAAATTTTGCAAAAAGGGGTACAAAGGGATACAAAGTTTTTGCTTCACGTATTAATATATAGATAAGATTAATAACAATAAGTATGTATTTAATTATTTTTTTAAAGGATTTATGACCTGGTAACTAAGACCTTTAAGTCATTTTAATTTATATTCTTATTTTTATGAAAAATGATAATATGAACTGAAATGAAATGAAATGCGATGATATGAGATGAAATATAATAATAAATGTTTCATTTTCCCACATTTGTGCATTTTCACAGATATTAAACAGTTAATAAACGACCGTTATTACACATTTAAATCTGAAAAAAACACTAAATAAAACAAATCACACAAATTCACTTCTCGCGTTCCCGCCAGAAAGTCGTATATATTTAAGATTAGTTCTTACTTGATCTTGTATAGCTTGGAATCGTCTTTGGCCTTCAGCGACACAGTGGAGTGAGTGCACATCATGTAGATGACCATGCTCAGACATATCAAGTTGGCCTGCGAAAGTAAAGGAAATTTGTTTAACTTATATCTTTAAACGAGCAATTCTTGTATATATATATATATATATAATCTGAATCTCGGAAACGGCTCCAATGATTTTCATAAAATTTAGTATACAGGGATTTCGGGGGCGATAAATTGTAGTTACGATTTATTTTCAGAAAATGTTGTTTTATTCATGTTTTCAATAATTAACTTTATCGATAATTTTGTTTTTTTTCTCTAAATAACCAGTTCATATTTTTTATTATTCTGTCGGTAAGATCGAAAAATATTATTCATATTTCATCATCATATAGGTCATTAACTAGTCATACATTAATAGTATATTTTAGTTCGGCATTGAAGATAAGTCTCACTTAAAAAAAATTTTCCTTCCTATATTGATAGCCTTGAGAGACTATTTCAGCTTCTCCTTGACGTGTAAATGAGCTCTCGGGGCTCAAACCGAGAGTGTCGCTAACACTGGCCCTAGCAAGAGCAGTGCTTTGCAGAATCTACCTGCCTAATCTACCGCGGAATCTCTTTTAAGGCACGTGATAAAGTCACAAGTTTTTTAATTCAAATTTATTAAAAAAAAAATTCTATTTTTAGTTGTATTTTCTATAAAAGCGTACTTTGTTAGTTTTTTTAAATTAATATTTATTTTTCATTTTTTAGTTGAATTTCAATTTTTTTTAAATTGTCATCGGCCCTTAATAAGTATACCAAATTTCGAGTTAATCCGACGTTTTGAAGAGGGTCAAAATCATGTTCAAATATTCCGGTTACATACTAACATACACACGTCTGAAGCTAATAAAAGCGTATTAAAAGAATAACTACGATAAAAGCTTTTTATTCGAGGTGTATATACGAATATAGAATGATAATGCGGTGATGGTATGGCGGCGATATCATTTAACAATATAATTTAGGTTATAGTTGTAATAAGGTATATTTTACGTTTTTATTAGTCCATTTGACAACGCGTTTACAAAGGATATTCGGTTGGATACCGAACATGTTAGAATCCTTTTTAGCAATGTGTGTGTATTAGATCCGCGAATAAAGAATTTTTTTTATTGCCCTTGTAGGCAGACGAGCACACGGCCCATGGACTTCAGCAATGCCACGGGGCAGAGCCGAGCCGCTGCCTACAAAAAACTCTCATTAAAACCTCGACTTACCAACAAAACCAAGGTGACGGGTCCGACGAAGCTCATGATGAACATGCGGTCGGTGGAGAGCCAGCAGTGCTGGGCGGTGCCGTAGCCGCCGGGGTACGCGGCCGCCGACGCGAGCACCACCAGCGCCGGCGCCAGGTACGCGCATGCGCAGTACCAGCGCGCGCGGGGGTGCTCCGGCTCGAACACCTCGACCAGCATCGCGTACAGGTGGAACCCTGGTGCGAGTTATTGGGAATTTTGAACAAATTTCCTAACAACGCATTCTCCTGTGTGTTTAGTGCGAGTTTTTTAACGTTCTCGATAGCGTGAAAGTTAACCGCGGGAACCCCCCTACTCTGACCGGGTTTTGACCCCCGACGGAGATCGGACGTCGGGTGTAAGAGTGCAGGGGAGTCGTTTAGTGGGTGGACCCTAAAATTGCTTGGGCCCGCGGTCTGCTCACAGCACCTTGCAGATCGTTGAGTCCCACATACCCCGCGCACCTCCAAGGCGCTGAGACCTCGTAGAAGGTTCGGCCCAGGCCCGAAAAAAATAAAAGGTTTGTGTGGAGTTGTATGTTGTATGGAGTTAGAAGTCGTCGTGGCCTGCAAGATAAGACGCTCGGTGCATTCGTATCGATGCAACGGCGTTCGAATCCCGCAGGCGAGTACCAATACGTACTTATCAAATGTTCACGCAAGCCGCAAACCCGGAAACTTGTGGACCTATTTCTGCCGTGAAGCAGTAATGGATTTCGGTTTGAAGCGTGGGCCAGCCGTTATAACTATACTGAGACCTTAGAACTCATATCTCTAGGTGGGTGGCGCAGTATTTACATTGTAGATGTGTATGGGCTTCGGTTACCACTTCTCACCACGTGGGCCGTGAGCTCATCCACCCATCTAAGCAATAAAAAAAAATCTTTGCATACGTTTGCCGCTTGGAACAGCCCAACTGCACACAAATTAGAATTAACTTTTACGCTATCGAAAACGTTAAAAAACTCGCACTAAGCACATTGGTTGCTAGATTCAAAAATAAAGTTGGTCATTAATTGAAATATCCTAACATGGTTTTTTTTTGTGACTTAAATTTCAAAATCAAAACAAACAAAACAATTGTAACGCATCAAATGATTCTAGGCCTTGAGGAGTCGGTGATTATGGTCGATTTTCGATCATCGACCGAACACTAAAATCGTTTTCTCAGAACCACAGTTCGCCTCACATACCTTCTAGAAACATCCAAGCGAAGGCCGCCAAGAAGAAATAGTGCAACAGCCCTGCGATGATCCCGCAGAATATTCTATTCTGTGTTTTATCGATACCGGCCAGAAACACTACTTCGGCGACGAGCAGACAGGCGCATAGGTTCTTATGGATTAAGCTTCGATCCGACTGAAAAAATAAATTTGATTTCAATACAGCAATCTTAGTGCCTATCAAAATATGACAGATCTCACTCAATGATGATATTAATTTATCCCTAATGAGAAAGGCAAAGGACTTTAGTCCATACAGCCAGGTCTTGTTCTTGGTAAGATAATTGGATAATTTTGGTAGTTTTAAAGGCCAAAGCCGCGTCTTCATTGTTCTTGATCGTAAGGCCGAAGCCATGTCCTGTTGTTGTCATGTCTTATTATTCTCAGTCCTAAGGCCTAAGCCACTTAGATGTTTTGAATTGTCGAAGTCAAATCCATAAGCAATAATAGTAGAATACAAATAAAAGTTATTTATGATCTCACTCAAGTGCAATTAACAAAATAAATTTTGTGACAAACAAGAGGGCGGTTGTAAAATGAACCTTAACTGTTGGAAATTAAAGTTGATTTTGGCTAAACACTCACCTTAGTGTTCCCGAAGCAGGTGAACACGATCATGGCAGCAGAGAGAGCGACAGTGGATATCCCGCAGCCGACGTACGTCAGGGTCTGCAGGGCGAGCTCGTGGGCGGCGCTGAGGGCCACGCCGTGAACGTCCATCAGGACGGCGAAGTTCGTGAGGTGGGAGCACGCGCAGCCGGTGTGAGTCGAGTTCGTCCACTCCACCTCACAACCTTCAGGGGACCAGCCACTGAGGAACGTCGATCGAGTATTAATTAAGAAACTCTAAAATTCGCGCCTACCCTACCTGGCTTACTAATAGCCGGTACTGTAGTAGTAGTACAACAAAAGAAAGTCATACTCTCACATAAATTTATTAAATGAGTTGAAATTTTCCACATAAGATTGGCACGATTATTTGAGGATGAATGTAGAAACTTATTTACACCTTTTTACTTAAAATTAATTTAATAAAAACGATTTAACTGCACAAACAAACTGTGCAGTCACATCGCTACGATAAACCGTTGTAGAGTATACCGACAATTAGTAACAACCCCGTGATGCGGCCATGCCGGAGTGTAATGTCACCTTTCAAACCGGACCTCATGTCTCAAACAGTTTATTACGGGTTGGTTCGCTAAATATAAAAATAACAAAAACACGAACTACCCTCAATACAATACCACACTTACTTCACTGAGTAATACCCCCGTGATGCGATAATGTCGCAGTACTATGTCACCTTTCAAACCGGACTTCGTCTCTCAAAGGTGTACAGACAATTATGCCGGGGGGTTCGCTAAATGAGCCGTCGGTTCGCGAAATATAAAAATAAAAAAAACACGAACTACCCTCAATACAATATCACACTTACTGCAAAGTATAATCCCAGAACACGCAGGCGGGATTGGTCACGTTCTCCGTTTGCAGATGCTTCATGGTGACTTTGACCATTTGCGAGAGCTGGATGTGGCGGCCGTTCCCTAAGCTCGCGGATATCACCTGGAATTATGAACATTATTACACTTCTAGAAGTAATCGTGGCTTAAAAGATAAGACGTCCGGTGCATTCGTGTTGAGCGATGCACCGGTATTCGAATCTCAGGCGGGTACCAATTTTTTTTAATGCAATACGTACTCAACATGTGATCACGATTGACTTCCACGGTGAAGGAATAACATCGTGTAATAAAAATCAAACCCGCAAAATTATAATTTGCGTAATCACTGGTGGTAGGACCTCTTGTGAGTCCGCGCGGGTAGGTACCACCGCCCTGCCTATTTCTGCCGTGAAGCAGTAATGCGTTTCGGTTTGAAGGGTGGGGCAGCCGTTGTAACTATACTGAGACCTTAGAACTTATATCTCAAGGCGGGTGGCGCATTTACGTTGTATATGTTTATGGGCTCCAGTAACCTATTAACACCAGGTAGGCTGTAAGCTCGTCCACACATCAGAGAAAATAAAAAACTATTTTAATCATCACGAGGGGTGAAGAAGGGCTAATATTTTATAATTTAAGCAACATTTTTGCAACTTTACAGGAGACCTATTTAAAAAAAATCCTCACTTATTTCAATGGCGTAAACTCAATTGAATACCAATTAAAAACATCGAACTGTTGATGCTTATACCAAATAAAAAGCACCTTGTATTAAAAAGATAAATGTCGCGTATTAAGCTTGGACAATTGTTAACTTGTGTGTTTAAAAATCAGTGCAAGAAGACCTATGAGAGACGAGAATTTTCTTACCTTCGAATTCAGTAGCCTTGTGATATTTTTCTTTTCCTTCTCGGAGTTAATGCTGGTGGAGGACGCGGGCGCCCCCCCGACCTCGGAGCGGTGGGGTGCGTAGTGGGGGGCGGTCTTGCCGAAGGTCGGGGGCAGAATTTCTTCGAGGCGATCGAACGCGAAGAATACAATCCTGACCAGATCGTTTTGCCGGTTGTCTGGTGGGATTGAATTCAAGATTTAAAACGTGCGTATGTGCTGGCGTTCTATCGTATCTACGTTTTTATACCCTTAATAATTATAGTGTGTAGTATTATTGTTTTTTTTATCCTTAAATCAAATTCTTGTAATAGGGAATGCTGTGTATAGGAGAAACGACCTAGCTCGCTTCGTCTATTCCTTCTCTCCACGGTCGAGTGGATCGCGAGACGCTCTGTCTTTTTTCTCACTCTCACTCGTCCTAAATTGTATTTTTTCTCTCTAGCCGTAACGAAACTGTCGTGAGTTAAATTTTACTCTCAACTGTGCTTCAAAAAAGCCCGCGGATGTCGCGTGGAATACAAAATTGCTCGTCGCAATTCCCCTTAACAGGCAAAGAGTCAAATCTATGTTTCATAATATTGTTTTAACCAAAATGTCCACAGATTTACTACTATTAATTCTTTTTTAAGCTTTTTTTAGTCGTCACGGTCTTGGCATCCAAGTCCGCCGGGAATAGAAACGTCTTACCTAATAATGCAGCCTTTGGTATCGTAATGATGTCTTCTGAAGCCTTCCACTGTTCTTGGGCTATCACAGATGGGAATGTTTCGTCTTCTACGTTTTTCACTTCCAAAACTCTCACGGAGAGGCCTGCAGCACAAATAGACTAGTATATAAGTATATAAACACGAGAATAAGTATATAAAATGTATATAAAAAAATTTAATTATACAGGCTCTTTTTTAGATAGAAGAATGGACAAGAGAAGGAATGAGTATATCAGAGGTAGTGTGAAAGTAGCCCCGGTAATTAAACGGCAATTAAAGAAACAAACTGTAGAACTAAAGAGCGGACGGTTAGCGTGGTATGGACATGTGATGCGTGTGACTAGGAGATGTATGGAAATGGTCCTGCAAGGTAGAGGGGGAAGAGGCCCACTGAAGAAGACTTGGATGGAGTATGTGAATGAAGATAGGAGTGAAAGAGGAGTGAGTGTTGAGATGACATCTAGTGGGATAAGGTGGAGAAAAAGAAGAAGGCCCTTTTTTTGTTTTATTGGTATTTTCCTCGTTGTTACGGCTATAACTTTCATAAAAGTCAGGCTTTTGGTCAACCAAAAGCCTGATTTTTATGAGGCTATATATATATAAACGTTTTCTCTCTCTATTACTTAGTTACTTACTTCCGCGGAGCAATGAACAGTGAAGCAGACATCTAAAACATTTTTTCACCTCAGCAGCTCAAACATGCCGCTTTTGCTGCGAGACAACAGTGAAGAAAACGCGACTTTGTTACGAGAGTGGGTCAAAGTAGCTTTTTAATTTTTCAATCTTCAGTGCCACGAATTGCCATTGTTCAGCCATTAATTTGAAACAATCCAATTTGACTGTGCTCTGTCTCTTTCTCATGCATATAAAAAAGCGAGTGAAAAAAACAAAATCGAAATTCGATTTTGTAATTCGACCTCAAAGAAAACACGTTCGGAAACGCGCGTACATAATACCCTAAAATATAAAGATTTCTTATAAATAAATTACGTTTTTTTTTTATTAGTTATTTCAATCTATCCCTGTTCGTTTCTATATCTCCTAAGTAATATGTGTTCTCGCTGCTGATGTGAAAAGTGATGTGCGCTACACGAGAGTAAAGTTTTTTGAATCGCGTGCTGTTGAGATCCTAACTACGCTCAGGATTCTACATCAGAAGAATCATAGAGTCCTCATGCTCGGGGCTCAAAATCAGCACCCGAAACAAAAAACAACTTTGCTCTCTTGTTGCACAAATAACTATTCTATAGTCAAGAAACTAACATATGTTTTTGACGATTTGTAAAATTGTTTTCTCTTTTGAAACGGCATCTGCTAGTAAGAAGGCGTTTTCTTCTAAGTGCGTGAGCAGTGCACTGGCGACGCGGTTCTGTCCTTCCACGCTCAAGTCACCCCAGGACGCTCGCTGACTTTCTTCTAGAAGATTCGATCCTGGAAAAACGTAAATTTTAAAATGAAACAAATCGATATCGTTTAAGGATCTACTATAGAACATATTGTAGATTTAAACTTTAATTGATTAGAAGTGAATTAAAATCCAAACGCAATCAAGCCAAAGTAAATAATAAATTAATATAAATAAAGATATAATTTAAAAACCTTGAAAACAAAACTTAATTTACAAATTGAATTTAGCCGAAATAAAAGTTATTAAAATTTTATTATCTCATATCCTTCACAAGTAATTGTAATAATTGCAGTAATAAAAGTATCGTTCTTATTATTGATCCTTGATACATATGTAAATTTTAAACATTATATATTGTGTTCTATTAGGTAGAAAATTACTTGAAACAATTTCGTACACATATATAGAGAATTAAAAATTATTGCAGTCAAAATGATTTTAAGGGCACCTAACAAAGATTGATATTACGAGGGATTCACAAAATGTAGCGGAGAGAGAGAGAGAGAGAGAAAGAAAGAGAGACATAAATTATTGTATTTGATTCAATTTAAAAATACTTAGCCTTAATATTTCAATTAAATATCATACCAGTTTTAATAACTCCAAGCAGCATATCGGTAACGAGAGCTTCTCTTTGGCTCGGGTCCCGGAAGCTTTGTATGTTCTGCGACATCCGCTGGGCTAGCTTCTTCATGATACTCGTAGTTGTCATCATGTCTCCGCCGTAGAGGGTCTTCGAGGATGTTACCTAGAAGACAATGAGGAAGGTCTGGTTTGCTGTCGTGCATAGAACCACCGAATAGTTCACTTTCTCCGTTACTTCGAATTCCTAGAGCAGCGGCTTAGTAATAGCGATTAAGTACGATAACTAATTTGATATGTTGCTTAAGGGTGACGACTATATCGGGGGTGAATGGCTTTTTACAGCGACATTTTTGCAACTTTACAAGAGTGCCATTTAAAGGTAAAAATTTGGGGAAAATATCATACCAAAAAAACTTTGATGGAACTGTTGAACACTTGAACGTTTCTGCAGTGAAGTAGTTATGCATTTGGTTTGGGGAGGGGGTCGTAAGTTTATTCGTTGTACTGTAAAACTGAGACTTAGTACTCACGTCTCGAGGTGGGTGGCGGCATTAACGTTATTAATGTCTATAGGCTCCTATAACCATTTAACACCATAATCAAAGCAATAAATGGAACGAAGCAAATAACGGTATATAACCCTTTTACTGTTTTACTCGATAAACCCAAGAAGCTAAGCAAATCGAAGAAGACGGCCTGTTGGTAAGTATGCGGTCTTACCTGTGCCAAATCATTGCTGATGCTAAGTAGCGATTCTCCTTCTCTGACCCTGGCTTCCAAATTGTTCAGCCATACGGATCTGCACTCGCTAAGGTCTGGTGATGCTCCATGCCATTCTGGTACTAAATCTGCTGTAATTCAAATTTGATTTTGACTAAAGACCACTTTTTATTTACTACATTAATTATCGTGTTTGCTGGAGTCTGTTGGCTCGCTATCATCAAGTATTCTGAGATAAAATATGACAATATCAAAACAAGCCTCTAAATGTCAAGAATTAATTACGGTCATAATAATACCACGATCCGGAGATATTCGATCACAACAGCAATGGTTTGGTTTATTTTGAAAAAACCCGTATTCTCTGTCTTGGCAGTTACGATGTACATAAATCTTCCCATCAATAAAAAGATGCTTACTGTAAATCTGTTCAACATTGATGAGAGAGTTGTCACTAGATGCCTGAGCATCAGGAAGGCTGCTCCCTCTATAATCGACCATTAGTTCTGGCGTGTCACCATTGCGGCCTGTTGAAACAACGTTCGTTTATCGATTTTGATATTTCCCTGTTACTGACACCCTCTATTGCCTTGTCAGAGGTGAGTCAATAGCAAATCAGACTAGGCCAAATCGAATTGCCCAGGTACCGACATGCGATATATCATCTAAGTGGCTGAGATAATGTAGCGAGATATTTCTAAATATTAATTGAAGGTGAATTATTGAAGATCTATTAATGAAATTTCGTGTTATAATTTACTTACCTTAAATCGGTTCCAAGGATTAACAATTCAAAACTACATGAGATGATTAAGATGTACAATGACCTATGATAGCTTTGACATGGATGTTTTTTTAATTATTAAAATATCTATTATTATTTTTTTCTTTTTTAATTACACTATAATAATTAAACTGTAATATTGTATGTTTTTAACTTATGTTTTTAATTTGCAATCTTTTGAATGATAATTGATGGAACAAATTTTCATATTATTGCACAATTTCAGTAATTTTCGACTTGTTACTCTTTGGAATCAACACGTTCTAACTTTGTCAGAATGTTTGTAAGCGATTTTATTCGTCATAAAGTGAACTTTATACGAGGTAGTGTATTATGTGAACTGACCTTTGAGAAGCACTTCCGAGCCCAGCCGTCGGACCAATTGCAAGTGCTTGTCCACGGGTTGGTCTAGACCTAAATCATGGAAATTCTCTCCTGAGGGTAGACCCGTTCGTCTTCTCGGTTTTTCGTCTCCAACGTAGTAATGTGGTGTTAGTGTGCATCTGAAATTGATTATTCAATAGTTCATATACAGGTATTGAAATTCTGAATAAGTCTAATTCTTGATATAAAAAATCGAAATATGTTTAGTTTTTTTTTCCAATAATGCTCCGTATAATATAAAAATATTTTACTATAACTTGTATAAACACTATTAATTAATAAAGATTACTAGTTTTCTTAGAAGATTGGACAGTCAGTTACGCTAAATTGGCCATTGCTCGCTGCCAAACTTAAACAAATTTACACTAAAACTGTTCACTGACACTAAGCGATTGTCTACTTACATTTTCACAGACCAATCAGAGTATTCAATTCTTTAATCCTTCTAATGAACGTATTTAATCCGTTTTAGAAGCACAATTTTGTTGTGCAAGACTAAGAAACTTTAATATTTAACTCAAAGAATTTAGTTTACAACAAAGAAATCTTGTATAATCGTTTCTAATGGAAATTGAATTGTGCGACTTACTTCCATCGTGCCAGTCCGGTGGCTCCGCCAGGACACGGCTGCACCCCATAAGTCTCCGCCAATGTCCAATTCCACAGTAAGCCTCTAGCTGTCACTTGAGGACAGTAAGCGTGGCGGGCGATTGCTTTTATTTCTTTCGTTGCTGTTGTAACAAATTTAATATTTTCTTACATTACATTAGTACAAAAGGAACGGATATGAAAAAACAATTGACTATTAATTGAGGTATATTACGATGAAAAATTATATAATAATAATAATAGAGAAGTGGAGAAACAGTGACTATAAAGATGATTATACACTTAAAATTAATTGACATACTCGTGGCTCTTTAAAAGGAGTATAGATGGCCTCTTATAAATATTAAAAATGTAAACAATTTAATTTTAGAGTCGTTAAAATCATTGATGATTTTAAATCTAATTTTTTTTTTTAAATTATATCTTCCTTTGCCAGGTTACGATGTTCCGATTTTAATAAATCCCGCTATTATTTAAGATGACTTTGTAAGATCGACGCATGTAGTTACGGTAAGATTCATAGGATTACTTTTTGATTACCATAAAACAAAATGAATTTAAGCGACGAGAAACCTCAGGTAAATCCACATATTCCACAAGTTACTAAAATAATAACCAATCTTTGTCCAGATACATGTGTCTGGTAAAATTTTGTATTTAATACTCACGGAATAAATCTTGCAGAATATCATGTTTGTCTTTTGGTGGTGAATTGACTGATACAGTCAAATCGGAATCATCTTCTTTAGGTGGTTCTTCAGTTACTGGTTCTGAAATAACTGAACTTTGATTTGTCTAAACTAAAATGACACCCTATGACCACGTAGCAGTACGTATAATTAATAATTTCAATTTTGAAAACCCTGATTTAAAGTTACTGTAGGGGTATATGCCCCAATTTGTTCTAAAAAATTATCTACCTCATTTTTGTCATATTCATTAATCCTTAATTAATTATCATTGAAAGTTAATTTTAATAATTTAATTTACACCTTTTTAATTCTCCTAATATTCTTAGTATTCTTGTGCATCTTTTTTTTTACTTGGAAAACATCCGGAAGTGTTTGTGTGTGAATACATTACATACCTGGATCTTCTTCTATCGCAGGGTTGTCGTTTCTTTGGTTTTGGTCTAGTTCAACTTCTTTGGGTGTTTCATCTTTCTCTTCAGGAATGACGTCTTTGGGGCTCACTGAAGGCTCCTTCTCCGACGATGTATCTGGTTGTCTTAGAGTTGTCTTCTGTGGGAAATACAATAAAAATACACTGTATAGTATCAGCATGTGTAATATAGCTTTTATAACGTATGGAGCATTGAATAAGCTATAGGCATTAGGTCTTGTCAGCATTAAATTTTGATTAGAATAAACTAGTCATTTGTTTATGAACTGGGAAACAGTTATTTTGAACGCTAAGTAGCTTTTGACTTGGTACTGTGATAAAAAATATATTTAGTGCTGTTTGATAATCAGTCTTATTTTATTATCACGTGGGACATATTAAGAAAAGCGTTGGGAGTTGTTTCAGTTGAAGAATAATACAGTTGGTTCAAATATCTTTATTTGTATTAAACTAATCAACTCACGGCCAACATAGAACACCAATATGGCGAAATCATTTCGAGGAACAAGGTAAAACGTAAAAACGCTATGGTCAAATCTAAAAAGTTGATTTACTCAGGGATATTATTGTCAATTTCTTTTGGATTCTTCATATTAAAACGAACTTCTACAAACCTTGGTTCCAATGTCGCCCAACTTGACTTCTGGAGGTAAAGTAATGTGAGGCCTGAATGTGGGCGGTGTGATCACAGTTGGTTTCTTCCTCTCATTCTGCGTTTGGACTGGGTTCTTCGGTAGCGGAGCGATGGTGGATCTCCACACAGTTTGAGGAGACGTGATGAGCCAGGGAGGAGACGGTCTGTTGGTCGTGCTTGTTGTTGAAGCTGGAATATAAAACGCATCATTATGGAATTGATTCATAAATTATAGTAGTTTTGTATTATTGTGTAATAATGGATTCAGGAGGAGTGAGCGTTATATAGTAACTTAAGCCGTAAATGTTGAAATGATGTTGATAATATTGTCTAAAATTGTTTATTTTTACTAAAATTTCTGATAGAATTCCATGACCAGTAGAAATCTCTGTTGTGAGCTGCACCGATAGCTATTTTGACCCTGCCTATACTTGCTGAATAGCAGTTATACATTCGAGTTTGAGGTTTGAGATAGCCATGAAGCAATAGCAATCATAAAATAGATTTTAATCTTTAAAAAAAAACTGAATCGCGCTGACAGCATTACGAATTAGCTTCCATACATACAAGCAGCCAGTTTTCGGGTATGACCAATGGAATGAAGATCTTCCCTTTAACTTTCCCCAACAACGTTATATACATTTGAGACTTCGAAGTCTGGTCCCAAGGCGACATTTACGTTGTGATCTCTATAGTTTTTATTTAGCCCAAGGTGGACGATAGTGAGTTCGTCTGCGCATGTATTGAAATAAAATATATGAGTCGTCTATTATCAAAGGCGGCAATCTGTACATTTGGACAAAAAAATTTTATTGATATGTCAATACAGATTTATTTGAATATAATCGTCTCCTTCAAAGAATACGGTTCAAAACCTGCATTAAATAAAGGTTAATAGTTAACCTGTTATTTATCTAAGATGTCGTTCCGAAGAGTTTTGTGACTGCCAATGGAATACAAAGTCAATAATTCGTTTTTCTGATTTACCAATCATTGTCCAAAAGTCAGATTGCCGCCTTTGATAATAGTCGACTCATATACAGCTTGTTTATTTACCTGGCACACATTGATAATGCGCTTCTAAGTACTTCAACGTATTAGGACACGGATCACCAAATATATTCGTGTTGGCCGATATACTGCAGTTCTGGTGCATGCTGCATCTGTAAATAAATAAAAACACAGATTTGTTTAGATATGATGCACAAATTAAACCGCCATTCGGAATATGCGTTTAGTACTTAAATAAGATTAAACTAAACTAAACTTCCAAGCATCGAAAAAAGTTAAACAAAAATAATCTTGCACATACGAAACCCTGTAATCCAATAAGCCACTTAATCAATTTTTATCAATAAATCGGTGGAGTCAGCTGGTAAAATCATTGTTTTCTCTTTAAGCTTTTGCTTTAGAACATTCGTATCTAATAAAAGGTTTTGGTTCTGCTACGTTAGCTGAATGTTTGGAGATATAGATCTTGCCAATCTGAGACCTCCTTCATCAAAATTAGATATAACTTATCAAAAAAGATAAACAGCCAATTGACATCCACTTTAAATTCGACTTGAGATTTACATACAAAACAATTAGAATGGTCAAACATATTATATTTAAGAATGATAAATAAGATCATCGTGTACTTAATTCCTTAACGCTACAATTTAATATTTTATCTAAAATATATTATAACCGGGAATAAGACGTGCAGTCATCTGGCCCCAAATTAGAATATATACATACATTTAATATATATATACATTTAATATATACTTATGTATATAGCTAAACATCCAGATAAAGGAGAAAAATAATTATTCATCACACGAAGGTTTTTTCCCGATGTGGGAATCGAACCCTTGAACCTCTGCTCAACAATCAGTCGATTACGAATCAAGTACTGTTTGTTTAACATCCAAATACACCGTAGTACGATCAAAACATGACTTTTTAAAATAACGTGTCGTTCTAGTATCAATTTGGAAGGTAATTTGCATAGCGCGAGGGTCCGCGCAGTTTATTGGCAATCTCGCAGTTCTAACTCGATAAACTCCGGGTTATTTAATTTTCGACAATTTTCGACACATCCCAAACGATGATAGTGTGACGATTAGAAATTGTTTACAAACATTCGCTTACGTTAAGGTCCTGAGTGTTTGTTTTGTAAGTCTTTTTGTAAAATATGCAAAATGTTGGAAATTAGAAAATGAATAAAACTAAAGAGAACTAAAGCGCTTTTTAATGGAAGAGTCTTTGAAATTTAAGCTCAACTGTAGAACCATCAGAAATAAAGAAACACTTCTCCTTATTAAAATATACGCTTCGAGTTCAAGCTAGTAGGATTTACTATTTTATAATATTTCAGAAAGCCAAGTTGCAACTTACAGTATGACTTATATACTTATAACGAATTCTAGCGAATTGGATGAAAAGTAACTGGTGGTAGGACCTCTTGTAAGTCCACACGGGTAGGTACCACCACCCTGCCTATTTCTGCCGTGAAGCAGTAAAGCGTTTCGGTTTGAAGGGTTGTTGTAACTCAAATTCAAATTCAAAATCATTTGTTTCAACTTAGATGTCAGTATAACACACTTGTTGAATGTCAAAATATAAATAACAATGTTAACTCTACCACCGGTTCCAAAAATGGCCGCAGTCCTGAGAAGAACCGGCGAAACAAACTCAGCGGGCTTATAACTAACTTGAGACCTTAGAACTTATATCTCAAGGTGGGATGCGCATTTACGTCGTAGATGTCTATGGGCTCCAGTAACCATTTAACACCAGTTGGGTTGTGAGCTCGTCCACCCATCTAAGCAATAAAAAAAAAGTTAAATTCCATATGAACATTCAATTAATCGTTACATGTACTCTTTCTTTATAACAATGATAAATACTGCAAGAAATGTTCCATTAACCGGCACAAGCTGAACCTTAAATCATGAACAGTATTTCTATGAATACAAATGCGACGTTAAACAAACTCAATGGATTCGAACACGGAATTCGAATGCAGAATATTGTAAATACGAACGAACGGAAACCACGAAATGTTGCCAATTACTTTTAGGAAACTACTACGTGGCATTAGAACAAGTAATTGTTTGTTAGAAATCGCGTTCTTATTAGATTTAGCGGTAGGCAGCGGCTTGGCTCTGCCCTTGGCATTGCTGAAGTCCATGGGCGACGGTAACCACTCACCATCAGGTGGGCCGTATGCTCGTCTGCCTACAAAGGCAATAAAAAAAAAAAAAAAATTTTTTTAGTTATTATTGGGCACACAGATGAAATTTTGAAAAAGGAATGTCTGTGATAAAAAAAATTAAATGACGTATGCATGTGTAGTATTTATGTGGTGGGAATTTCAAAAGGCGAAGTTGTTGCTATTTCCTATGACCTTTTGCCCATCTTAATGATGAATTAAAAAATAAAATCACAATTCTGAACCTCCTTTTAAGTTTAAAAACTGGACACGTGTAAGTCGCGCAGTGTCGCAGAATTAAGTTTAACATTTAAACATTTACCTTTCAAATTTGAAGTCAATATAAAATTTGAAACAGTTTCTCTATCGGTCGCCTCTTAACTTTTACCTTTACTAACCTTTTACTGGTGGTAGGACCTCTTGTGAGTTCGTACGGGTAGGTACCACCACCCTGCCTATTTCTGCCGTGAAGCAGTAATTCGTTTCGGTTTGAAGGGTGCGGCAGCTGTTGTAACTATACTTGAGACATTAGAACTTATATCTCAAGGTGGGTGGCGCATTTACGTTGTAGATGTCTATGGGCTCCAGTAATCACTTAACACCAGGTGGGCTGTGAGCTCGTCCACCCATCTAAGCAAAAAAAAAATTGTTTGTTTTTGTTTTGTTTTTTATCCCATATCTTAAAAACCCCCTAACATGTTTTGCTAAAACCACTATGGTTAATGGAATACTTTAATAAACCAATATTCCCTATCTCTAGTGCTGCTATAATTCATTAACTAAAATCATTGCGAAACAAACTACATAGATCAGAATCCGTATTTGTCGTTTGATTACGAAAATGGCGCACAAATAAATATGCTTAGTGTTAAATGTATTGTTAGATTTAGTTATGTAATTGAGAAATAAATTATAAACAAACTTACTTGCTATGCAAAACCCTCAAACTCCTCGTGGACATGCAATTTACGCTCCAGTCGGTGTTCCCGTGGTCATTGCATATCGTTATCGAGAAACGACCGTAGTTCGCCCTTATTAGATGAATCACGGATCCCTCGCCGCAGCCTATCTTAAGGGTCTTCCCTTCACAGGCGTACGCTGTCTCATATCGTGGCTCTGAAAAGAAATATAATTTTAGTATTTTTCGGTTCAACCCTATTCAAAATTAGTGATAAATACATGATTACCGAAGCTCATGCAAAGACAAATCACATGATCTCAAAGTTTAAAGGTTTTTCACACCAGAAATTTGCAGCAGCAGTAGGCCGAATCGTACCTACCCGTGCGAGTCGATCTCCAATTCAAATATTAACAAATTGGATGCAAGAATTTATTAAAGTATCATATACTAGAATATCAAATTAAAAAGAATAACACACTTCCTAACTCGCCATATTTGCTTTATCACATTATGTACAGACGCACCGTTCGTTTCGCGGTATGACGAGGCGAAAACGCGTAAACGATCTGTCAGTGTTGCCATTAATTTGCTCGCGATTTATTATACATCCTTAGAATGTGCACCTTCGGACGTAGGGTTGCGGCGAATTTTTTTTTTCTATCATCTCGAATTGGTATGGATAGTTGCGTTTAGATCAAAAACATTTGTAATATTTGAAATAATGTTTCAAATAATAAATATTTCATTATATCCTAAAAAATTTCGAGTAAAATTTTGAGCGAAAGAACAATTCAGAATTTTAATTCATATTACGTTTGACAGCCCTGAGCTCAGATTCTCGATTCTCATCAGAAGCCCGATGATAAATCTTGCTTTAGGGTCCATTGCAGTTTTCCTTGGTTTCTAAATTTCTCCCCGTCCAGTCAGCGAGCGATATGCCCGGAAAACTCATTTCCAACGCCACAAGCGTTGTAGATGAATACAGAAATTGATTATGAAATGTTGAGTCAACAGTTTTTGTTTTGTCTCGCGTTTGAGGATAAATAAATGTGGCACGTTTAATTGGATCTCTCTGTCTTATTGCTGTCGTCTTACGCTATGTTTCAAATAATAATTGAATTATTATTATTCTGATGAGTATTTATTGACGTTTTTTTTATTAGTTTACAAACTTCAAACTTACGGAGCACAGTCAAAATACGGCCATCTTAAGACATGAATTCGAAGTCTTTAAATTGGAACGTCTGATGGCTTTGCGGCTGAAAAGGCTGGACGGTGATAACAACCCGTGCGGCTCATATATAGAGCATATATTTAGCAACGACGACAAAGACAAAATAGTTAAGTACCATTCAGTACCTATTGATAAGCACTTGTGTTATGAATTGAAATAAAATTGGAGACCGTATTTTTTTTCTAAAATATTAACTGTATAACAAGAAAAATAAATGATTAACTAAAATAAATTTAAATCTTAAAGCGTCGGTGATTATAATCTAATTTCCATCAGCGGACGGACACCTATCTATACTTAATTCGGTTAAAAAATATATTTTTATAGCTAATTTTACAGTGGCGTACATTTCAATTATTTTTTAATGCTTAGATAGATAGACGAATTCACAGCCCACCTGGTGTTAAGTGGTTGCCGGAGTCCATAGACATCAACAACTTAAATTCCACCACCTTTGCCACTTGAGTTCTAAGCGAACGGCAACAACGGCTACCCCACCCGTCAAACCGAAACGCATTACTGCATTAATTACGCTAATTTGAATTTTGGCGGGTTTCATTTATTTATTTATTTAATATATTTTGCACACACAGCTGTTAGAAGAAACACGACAATAAGGATACAACGTACAAGGGCACTACTTATTTCATGTTGAAATCTCTTCCAGTAGGCCCGCAGAAGGAAAGAAGAATTAGGAACACAAACCTACTGCATACAGTAAACATTACATATAATTATTATATTATATACATATTACAAGATACAATACAATTTATATACATACAAATACACACACACATACTTTATATTACAATACATTATACAAATAACTAGTCAGGTCATAAGTATTGTCACACAGTAAAAACTTTTCTTTTAGAATGCTGGCCACAAAAAAGTTTATTGAATTCGAATTTCGAATTGTTCATGAAAATAAAAATGTATAACTTTTAGAATTTTACTCATTTTTAAATATGGAGTGGACGCTTAAAGAAGACCGTGTTGCAGTTATTGCGTTGCATCGTTGCGGTTACGCGCCAATTCAAATTTTTAACATACTGAAAAATTTGAATATAACCAAAAGATTCGTTTATCGTACCATCAAACGATACAATGAAGACTCTAGTGTAGATGACAGGTCAAGAAGTGGTCGCCCTCGGTCTGTTAGGACTCCAGCAGTGATAAAAGCTGTGAAGGCGCGAATTCAAAGAAATCCCAAACGTAAGCAGAAACTGTTGGCCCTTCAGATGGGGTTAAGCAGAACCACGGTGAAAAGGGTGTTAAATGAAGACTTAGGGCTTCGGGCATATCGAAGAAAAACAGGACATCGTTTGAATGCTCGTCTAATGGACCTGAGACTGAAGAGATGCCGCGCTTTGTTGAAGCGGTACGCGGGAAAAAAATATCGGGAAATTCTTTTTTCGGATGAAAAAATTTTTACCGTAGAAGAGAGCTACAACAAACAAAATGATAAGGTGTACGCACACAGTAGTGAAGAAGCGAGCAACCGTATTCCGCGTGTCCAACGAGGTCATTTTCCATCCTCGCTCATGGTATGGTTGGGAGTTTCTTATTGGGGCTTAACAGAGGTACATTTTTGTGAGAAAGGTGTAAAAACGAATGCAGTTGTGTATCAAAATACAGTCCTGACGAACCTTGTGGAACCTGTTTCTCATACCATGTTCAATAACAGGCACTGGGTATTCCAACAAGATTCGGCGCCAGCACATAGAGCGAAGAGCACACAAGACTGGCTGGCGGCGCGTGAAATCGACTTCATCCGGCACGAAGACTGGCCCTCCTCCAGTCCAGATTTGAATCCGTTAGATTACAAGATATGGCAACACTTGGAGGAAAAGGCATGCTCAAAGCCTCATCCCAATTTGGAGTCACTCAAGACATCCTTGATTAAGGTAGCCGCCGATATTGACATGGACCTCGTTCGTGCTGCGACAGACGACTGGCCGCGCAGATTGAAGGCCTGTATTCAAAATCACGGAGGTAATTTTGAATAAACTTTAGTGTCATAAGAATCTATGTTTTGTTAAGTTCATTTTGGTATATGAATGGTTACATAATGAATAAACTTGTTTCAATTATTTCACATTAAACATGTGACAGAATTTATGACCTGACTAGGTATATATACTTTTTTTAATATGGTAAAGATAAATAGTGCTCTTTAAACGATTTTTTGAACGCTGCTATGGTTTTGCGCGCTCTTATGCTATTTGATATTCATTACACGATATTGTCCCGTAGAAGTCATTCGTAATAATGCCTTAAGTACGTATTTCAACTAGAGGATTTGGGCCTGCCTGCGGAATTCGAACACCGACACAGTCGCATCCTTAAGTCGACGACGTCAAATCTTACACATTAAAACATTACATTCATCTTCCATTTCATAATACCAAATTGAATGCAAAGATCAAGATAATATTCACAAGGCAGCGTATTCCTACAAATCAACCGACTTAAAGTATCAATGTTTATCTGTATACGAACATCCCTCGCCTTTAAGGGTGCACCGTCCTTTTGCTGCGGGATCTATCCCCGGAGTATTTCCCCAGAGTATTTCCAATTCAAGCACGGGAAATGTAATTTCATATCTTTAAAAAGGGTTACACGGCCAACGTGTGAGGAAACCACGTGGCTCTGTGTGCGTTATCCGAATCTACAACTTTCCAATAGAATTGTTGAGAGACTTTGTATAATTATGAACGCTATTGTCAGTTTAATTATATAGCAATGTTTTATAACATAACGAGCGCATTTATCCAAATATAATGCATTTTTTTTTATTGCTTAGACGGGTGGACGAGCACACAGCCCACCTGGTGTTAAGTGGTTACTGGAGCCCATAGACATCTATAACGTAAATGCGCCACCCACCTTGAGTTATAAGTTCTAAGGTCTCAGTATAGTTTACAACGGCTACCTCGCCCTTCAAACCGAAACGCATTCTGCTTCACGGCAGAAATAGGCGGGGTGCTGGTACCTACCTGTGCGGATTCACAAGAGGTTCTAACACCAGTAATTACGCAAATTATAATTTTGCGGGTTTGATTAAAATTAAAAACAACAACAATTAACAATTTAAAAACTGTAAAAACACACTGTATGACTGACTTAGTGGAGCAATAGTTAACGCTCCTAACTATTGCGCCGAGGGTCGTGGGTTCGATTCCCACATCGGGCCAACATTAGCCTGATGAACAAATTTGTTTACTTTTTGTCTGGATGTTTATTATCTATATATGTACATATTTAAACGTACATATATAATAAAAGTATGTATGTCGGTTTCTCGTACCCATAACACATAGATTCCTAATTTGAGGCCGGATGACCGTGCGTGCTTTGCCAGTTATTTAGTTATATTTATTTATATAATAGCGACCTAAGGAAGTCGACTATTTTATTTGGTAATCAAGAAAATAATTTTAGTAGCGGTAGATACAGGTCGATCTAAAATAAAATTTTGTTGACCGTATATTTGTACGGATGGACCTGTTTGTAAATACAAGCCCACTAAGTTTCTCGCCGGATCTTCTCAGTGGATCGCGTTCCCGATCCGGTGGTAGATTCTGCGAAGCAATGCTCTTGCTTGGGCTAATGTTAGTAACGTCCTAGATTAGAGCCCCGTGAGCTCACCAGCTCGTGCGGTGGATCTAGTATAACTCCTCGAGGTCACTATCATAGGTAAGAGAAAAACTTTTTTAGATGCAATTGCCAAAAAATCTTTTGCATCCACCTTCGCTTCCAGGGTTTCGTGTTTAACGCGGTTTAACTAACAAATTCAAATTAGACTACAGCATATTAATATTAATAAAACTTTATTTGCTATAAAACAAAACTCGATACTGCACAACGCGTGTGGTCGCCTCACCACAAGAAAATAAAATCGATAAAAATCGATATCCGATAAAATCTCGTATTTTTATAACGAATAATAATAAAACCGTTCTATAACAGTTAAAC